AAAGAAAGAGGTTTATTTGGGCTCATGTTTCAGTCCATGGTCAGCTGGCTCCAGAGCAGGACAGCATGGCAGAAGGGCCTGGTGGAAGAGAGCTGCTGATGGCGTGGTGGACAGGAAGCAGAGATGGAGGGTGGAGCACATAGGGAAATAAAACTTTCTAGGCCATGTCCACAGTGACCCCACCTCCTACCAGCAATCCAGCTGTAAGCAATCCAGCTGTAAACCCACTCACCTTCCGGGAGCCCCACTGTAAGTGCCTGAGATTTTGTAGGTGACATGTGGAGATAAACTGTGACTGTTGTGTACCTACTCAGTGCTATCTACAAAGCTCTCAGAGCTAGCAGAGCCAGTGATCAAGCTTTTGGGTCCTACTGTAAACATTTTTGTAGTTTTAGAATTACCCTGATTACTTCTTTATTTGACATGCCCTTCCCTTGTATATCAGGGACTGTAGTTTTCTTAGTATGAGCATGCTCACCCTGATTTATTAGCAGTGCACAAACCTTTATGTGCATGTGAGACAATAGTTTTTTTTGTTTTGTTTTGTTTTGTCTTTTTGAGACAGGGTCTCGATATTCAGCTCAGGCTGGCCTTGAGCTTACTTTGTAGCCCAGGCTGGCCTTGAACTCACAATGATCCTCCTGCCTCAGCTTCCTAAATGCTGGGATTATAGGCATGTGCCACCATGCTCAGCTGAGACCTTAGTTTTTTCAAGAAGGTTTGTTGCTTTCTTTGATATCTCAAAGGCTAAGGGAAATGCTCATATAGCACTGTTTTTAAAATTTTAAATTCTAGTCCATTAATGGCTCATGGAAACCGTTTAGTGGGTTATGACCAGTAAGTTTTTGTATGTGTGTTTTTTTTAATACATAATGAACCTTGGCAGGGTGGCACACATGTGTAATACCAGCACTCAGGAGGCTGGGACAGGAGGATTGCCATGAGTTTGAGGCCACCCTGGACTACATAGTGAGTTCAAGGTGAGCATGAACTACATGGTGAGACCCTGTCTCACAAAAGCAAAACAATACGTAATGAATAGAATTGAACAAAAAATATCAGGACATCACATGTACTAAGGGTATTTTGTTTTGTATGAAGTTTTTATTTTCTATAGAAATGTACCTGTACCTGTATAAATAGTACATATACCTATGGGTTGTGATGAAAATTTATTTCTTATAAGGAGTCATGAAGCGTTGGAAATAACACAGATGTAGGGTGGCCTTCTTTTTCTTCTCCCCCACTTCCTAGCTGTTGCTGTTGTCTTTCTGTGGTGTGCTAACATCCCATATGTCAAGTTTAGTAGAAATGTGTCTAAAGTGCAAGTACCTGAGGCTGGAAGGATTTTTCTTTTCTTTTCCAAATGTTTTCAGAATTAACTACCTAGGGATGTTTCCAGGGGGTGGTGACAGAAAAGATAGGTTCACAAGGGCCCACAAGGAGATTCCTAAGTTCCTCTGAGGTCTCCTGACAGCCGGTCCCCAGCACCTCCTCAGCCCGGTGAGATAGTCTGTGAGGATTGAGTTTTGGAAGAGCTGTCTTGCAGGACAAACCGCATGGCCTTTGGATTACGTGTGTGGGTTCCGCATTGTGATGGGGGAGGTTACTAGAATGAATGTTCTCCTGCAAAGTCGTCAGTTTTTGCTGTCCTTGCTGGTGGTACCCTTCAGTCTTCTGTGGTGGTTCACAGAGGTCTGTTTGGAGCACCAGATGGGAGGATGGAGCTTGTTGTGGATGGGAATGTTTGTCCATTTGTGATGTAACGTGTCCTTGAAAAGTGGAAGACAAACCTGGTAATTGAAACTGCCTCTTATAGAAAGGTCCAGCTTTCCCTTCCTTCTCTTTTTGTGCTCTTCTCTTTCTCCGTCCCCTTCCAGATGTTAGAGGCTGGTCCACAGGACAGTGGGGTGGCACCGTGGTGATGGGCCAGGACCCAGCGGGGGGGCGGCTACTTAATGGTAAATGTGGTTCTTAGCTATTGCAGTGCGTGATGCAGTAAGAAAACACCAACTTTAAATAGTGTTCAGCTGTTCGTGAAAACAGTGTTACCATTCCGAAGTCCAAATGTCAACGGGTGTAAAAAGGAACTGTGTGGCCACTGTTACTGTGGTCCCTGGAGAGGGTCCGTCTGGGGCTGGAGTTACCTGAAGGTAGCATGAGTACTTGCCTAAGACTGAAGTGGAATTTAAACCCCACCCGGACCATCAGCTGCTATCAGGAATCTTTATCTGAGTCTCAGAGGAAGGAAGCAGGATTGTGGCTGCGAATATTTGAATTATGCTACTGCTGCACAGGAGATAATGAAGTCTTTGCTAATGCATGTGGAGACTACCAGGAGGCAACCTATGAACAGAAAGGACAGGGTCCTAGTAAAGGACAAACCATTAGGAGGGCAGGGCTTGAGAGTACTCATCTGAACACAGGCATGGAGTGGAGCTGAGAGCTAGCTGGGTTTCTATAATGTTGACCTGTGCGGGTGTATCAGTTACTATTGCTGCGTAACAAGCCACTTCCAGAAATTAATGGTGTGGAACAACAGGAAGATACAATACATGTATTTTACACACTATTCTCCACAGTTGCAATTTAGGCTGAGCTCAGCTTTGTCTCTCTCCTGCTCATCTCACCTGGGATAACTGTGGTGGCTTTAAGCATCTGGTGGTCTCCCTGGGGCCGGATGGTTTAGCATGGCCTCACTCATACCTCTAATAAATAGAAGTCCTTGGCTCTACACCTGACTTTTCAGCAGTTAGTGTAAACTCATTCATTTGGTAGCTTGAGGCCAGTTATTAAAGAAGTGCAAGAGAAGCAAATCACATTTAAGCCTCTGCTGGGCTCTCGGTTGATAATGTCTTTCTGGTCAGATCAAGTCCCATGGCCCAGCCCAGATTCAAAAGATGGGAAATAAACTCTGCCCACGGATAGGAGTGACAGCAGTCTTGTTTCTGAGGGTGTGGGTGTGTGTACAGGAATGGGAGGAATTTTTATGGCCGTTCTTTCAATTAGGCTATCACAGTAGGTGAGGGGAGCGAGCAATAAAATCCTGGGCCCTGTACATAGCGAATTTGGTGTTGTAGTTCAACACAGAGATAATTGTGCGATGGGTGATGGCTTGTACCTTCTTTGTGAGCGATGTGAGAATGAATCATTACACTAACAAGTATTTATTGGACATCGGCAGGCCAGGTCCTGTTCTCGGTGGTAGGGATGGAGCTGTGAGGAGAGAAAGGCACAAATAATAGAAGGAAACTTGCCCCTTGTTAGTGTGGCTTTTGATTTTGAATCTGAGGCAGCAGGTTTGTTCTTTATGCAAGAATGCAGCAGAGGCAGATTTTTATCAAGAACTTAGCCATTGTGAAGTCTGGCTTTAGAGAGCAGCTTAGAAATTGGTTTCTCTGCTAGTAGCAAATCTGTATATTTAAAAAAAGTGTCGCGTTTAAGAAATAAACTGAAAAAGAGAAGTCAAGTACAATTTTTATTTCTTTTTTTACCAAAAAGCTTTTCTTTTCCTCAGTGGACACTGAAGTAATAGCCAGTGGTTACGTATTCCTACTGTGAGTGTGATGGATTCGAACCCGTCACTGGGGGCTCTTCACGTTTGTTCCGTCTCAGGCATCGCCAGTCTACCTGCCCAGGCGGGTGGGAGTGTGAGGCCCGTTCAAAACTTCCTTGAGAAAGTCTATCTAAGTGAGATCGGTAGAAGTTGTATTCGTTCTTTGTCGGGCGAGATGAGTTGGTTCCTAAGGGTAGAATTTCAGAAATAAATGCAAAACAGAGAGGTTTCTTTTTCAGCATTGTCTTGCCCACTTTTGATCAGGTTGTGTTCTTAAAGGATGAAAGCGTGTGAAACATTAACCTGTTTCCTTTTCCGGGTTAGGGAGAAGTCTTTTTAATTAAAATCATTGTAACCGATGTAAGAATAATCTAGCAGAGAGCTTCTGATGTTTTTTATTTTGTTTAATTTTCATCTCCTTGAGTCCTCCCAGTGGTGGCCGTGCTGGAAAACATGCTGCTGTAAAGACACTATCTTTCGTTGGGTGCGCTTGGACGGGTGGGGAAGTAGGAGCTGACCCTTCCCTTCCTTGTTTCATTCTTTCCTTTACGAACCTCTTCCTTTCTAGAATGTTATCACACATACAGTGCCTGGGCATCTGTATTTCCCCTTTCCATCTTTATAATGTTGAAGCAAAGGAAAAATGGAGCCACCAGGCTGAGTCATTTATAGTTAAGTGAGTTTTCCTTGTGGCAGTGTACTGGGAGTTACACAAAGTGAGCTAACCCTGCACCACTTGCGCCGCTAGGAATTTAGGATTGGGGCAGAAAGGAGGATAAGCGGTGTTCTGGTTCTCCATGTGGGAAGGTCAGCTAGTGTCTGTTGTCCTGCACTGATCCCCCCAGGTAGATTTAGATTTTATATCGGATTGACAATCCACTAAGTGTATTCTCTATCAGAAAGTGCATTTAAATGCTACTATTAAATTCTCAGCACATTAGGTACAAAATGAAGTTGTGTTGAGTCTCCCAAGGAGAACGGTAGCTGTAATACTGCATTGTGTGTGGTCTGAGCCCGTTGTGGAGACCCACGGGCTGTCGCTGGGCAGCGCCGTGGCACTGGGGCTTAGGTCTGGGCAAGGGTTGGCCGGAGGGGACAGAAACCTAAGTCCTAACAGAGCAGGGGTCTTACTTACAGTTACCAGTAGCTGGTGATGAAATTTTTGGCAAGTATGACAGGGCTTTGGAGAGCTCTTATCCAGAGTCCAAAATTAATCTCGAGATTTATTTTGAAAGTTATTTTCAATGTATAAATCTGCTTTCTATTTGTGGACAGAGGGAGCAAGCATTCCTGCCCACCTGTCTGCAGAGATGCAGAGTTCCTGAAAAGTGTAACGTCAAGGGTGAAGCAGTGAGCTAGTGTTGGTTTTAAAAGATTAAAGCGCTGTGATGCTGAACTTTCCACACTGTGTTGTTGTAGCTACATTTTACTCTTTCTTTTACAGACATACATCGGAAGTGTGGTTATATCAGTTAACCCCTACCGGTCTCTGCCAATTTATTCTCCAGAGAAAGTGGAAGATTACAGGAATAGAAATTTTTATGAGCTGAGTCCTCACATGTAAGTACGGTATTAAAGCCCTTAAGTTTCTCTTGTGCTCCCGAAATGCACAGTTGACAGATGTGTGCAGCTGCCTCCTTTGAGTCTCAGGAAAATGGTCCTCTTTTTTTTTTTCAGCAGCTAAAGTAACGTGAGGTTAATAGTTGTGCCTTGCTTTAATTTTTTTTAAAGGCGAAATACTTCAGTATGTAAGATATTTTCTGTCAGGAAAAAAAAAAAACCTCCTGTGTCAGTAGCAGCTGCTGCTAATTAGTTTTGCAAATAAAACAGGAATGTGCATTGTTTATTATTATTACGAGGCCATCCAGCATTTTCAGAGTCTTTTGGGGTCAAGAAAGATTCCAAGTGTTGGGTTATGTGATGGTGTTTAAGGACCAAAACCGGTCCCCTTGGATTTTTCATCTTTGAGGCCTTTGTTCAGCAGGTCGGTACAGCGGGCCACTGCTTTACCTTTCCTGAATTTCCTCACCTGTTTGGTGTTTTTCAGTAAGGCCCCTTGTTAGTGTAAACAGCTCCTTCCCAGAGCTGTGCTTCCTTTTGTCTGCTATGCTGCCATGGCTCTGTCGGTGTAGACCACAATTTTGTTTCTGTTCTGAAAGAAAGATAACCTGGAGGAGGTTTTCTTAGGTTTGTTGGGTCAGTAGCAGAAGTGGATTTCTGGATCCTAGAACTTTAGATTTCCCGAATGAAAATGGAAAAAAAAAAAGCGAGAAAGAGAATATCCATATATTATCAAAGGGGATACCGTAAACTTTATTTCTCCAGTTATGCTATGTTTACTGATATGTGAGAAGAATCTGCTCACTGTTTACATTCTCCTGACTGTTGTGTTGAAAGGGAAGGGCGCTGGGCCGGGCCAAGTTGTGTAACGAGAGCCTCAGGCCTCTGTCCCTGCTCCCCATCAGAAACATTTCCTGCCTCCTCTTCTGTGGGCATTTGAGCATTTACCAGAATCCGAGTTCTTAAGACTGCCAGTTGCTTCAAGGGACCCACGCAGACTTACAGAGGGGCTCTGGCAGGCGCAGCCAGGTTTTATTTTAATGTTATAAACCTTGGATGCAGATTTAACAAACCTTGGGAAGTGTGGCCAGTCCCTAGGCTGGGACTCCTGTGTGGACTTCCTGTGCGGAAGCGCTTTTTGAAATGTCGCGAGCTCTGCAAGGCGATGCTATGTATTACTACCACCTCCGTCACTGTGTCTTTGCCATAGTGTTGTCCTCTCCTACTAGAAACACCCCACACTGTCATGAAATGTATCTCGGCATGCGTACATGTAAACGTGGGTGGGGAGATACCCAGAAAATGTCTTGAGTGTGGAAACAACCATTCATTGGTCATTAGGTTATTGGGGAGTGGCATCTGAAAATGGAAGCTACCAACCTGTAGTTAAGACATTTTCAGAGTCTTTTTAGGGAAAGTGGTAGTTTTCAAGACGGGGTGATTTTGGCCTTGGAGAAATCTGATGGTCTGGAGAGTTGTGCTTGTCCCCACTCGGGGTAGGAGGTGCTGGCAGATGTCCTGCAGTGCACACGGCGTCCCCCCGATAATGCAGAATTATCTGTTTGGGGGCCCTAGTGCCAAGGATGAGAATCCCTAAGGAGAAGGAGCCTGCAGAAAGTCTTCATCCTCTTTGGCACACAGTGATATTTGGGGGCTGGTTTTCTTGTAGAAGTAGATTTTGTAAGTCATCGAATTACTTTGTTCCTTAAGAAAAAGAAAATTTAAAGTTGGTTTTGTAAAGTTATCCCCGTTGTTAAAGGCTTGCAATGAAATATTTTATGTGATGCCCATGTATTTACTTGAAATTTGAGGCTTGAAGCCATGCTTCCCAAAGTAGGGTGTGTGGCCAGCAGGGTCCAGGGACTTGTGAAAGCTCCGGTCTCCTCGGCCGTCTCTCTTAATATTTTTCACAAGTTTTCCAGGTGATTCTTCTGCACATTGAAGTTTGAGAACGTGTTGTCTGAGATGTATATTTCACGTTTTCCTTTCCTATTTGCTGTAAGCCGTAATCCTTAATAATAATAAATACTAATGATGAGTGTTCACTGAGTGTTTACCATGTGCAGCACTGCTCTCAATACAGATATTACAACTCATTTCATTCTCAGAGCAAACCTGTGGGGCTGTTACAAAAGGGACATTGTCAAAGAAAGACCAGATAGGTTCTGCAGAGCCACACAGCTGGTAGGAGTTGAACCTGGTATGAATCAGTTGTTCCTCTCACCTGGAAATGGGTTCTTCCCTTTTCATGGCAGGGCCTTGGACTATATGTGTCCACTCAGCCATCCTGGGTTACTTGTGCTTTTGTACCCCAGGATCTCCAAGAGAACCGTGATTATGCCTCAGTTCACCTCCAGAGAGTCTCCCACAAGTCGTACTTCTGTTTTGCTGCTTAATTCCACGTTGGAGATGTTTCCGGGATCTGATAGCTGGCTCTTCTAGAACATAGACATTCATGCACCAGAATATCCATTTTTATTCCTGCCCTGGAAGATTCATGCAGGGGGCTGCATGGCCCTGCCACCCCAGTGCACCCCTGCACCCCCAACTGTGACAGTCACCACCAGTAGTAAAGTGCAGTAAACGCCCAGTGTGCTGAGGATAAGCAGAACATGTTTCCCATGGTCCACAAAGCACTACGTGGGGTGCAGGTGGCTGTTTCCCTAATGCATGGGAATTCGCCACACCCTCTCCCTCGAAGTTTGCCCCCTCCCACCCTGACAGCTCTATTTTCTGTCTCCCATCTGGGTGCTCCTCCGTCTGCCCCAAAGCTCTGCTTTCCGACCCAGGATGCCGGGAGACCTCCTCCTCGCCGTGCCCAGGTCTGTAGCTCTTCTCAGAGCTGCAGTGGAGCTCTTGTTGAGGGTTACCTGAGTGACTTCAGCCTCATCTGTAGAGTCCACATTTTCTCACCGATCTTGCCAGCATCTGGATAAGTGAAGGGTCGGTAAAACTCTATGAAGCAGGACTTGGGTTCCAGGGCCACCTCTCCCATGTACAGGCTCTGTTATCTTTAGCAAACTGAAGAAGCTTTCACTCGGAGAATAAGTAATTTGTTCTCTTCATGGGAAGATAATTACTAACACATAGGATTTTTATGAGGGATAAATATCTGGGCGATATGCAGATAATGTAATTATCTGGTATCTGTAAAGTGCCTGGCATGGGATGGGGCAGGGCCTTGTGGTAAAAGACAGCTGCTGCATTAACAGTGACAGTTACCGTAATTGCTACAAGGAGAGATGTAGGACACACGTCTACATTCTCACATGCCCTTTCTCCTCCTTCCTGGAGCATTTTCCACTTCCTATAATGTGTCATTCTGCACTGTTCTCTGTGAATGTCCATCTTTGACGGTGTCTAGACTGGTTCCCTTCGGAAGGCCGGCCTGGTGTTCTCAGGTTTTTGGTGATGTAAGGGAATATGGTGTCTGCACTTTTGATACACTTTCCCTGCAACCATTTTGAGATTTTGGTTTCGGTTTGAATAGAAAACTATTTAAGGAGTTGCTTAGACTGTATGCTTGAAAACTTTGTCAATTTACTTATCCAGGTTTTATTTGGAATCTAGTTTGAGCTGCTGTGTTAGTCTGCAGTCTGCAAAAACATACAGATTGTTTCCCTATAATTCATGTGTCTGAAGGGCTGGAGGCGTAGCTCAGTGGTAGAGCGATTGCCTGGCTTGCATAGAACCTGATTTAATCTTCAGTACTGCAGAAAACAGAAAGAAGTGTTAAACAGAGTCCCAAATTTACCTTTGAGTTTCAGAGAATTTTAAAAAGTTACATTTTTTGTAAGAGCATGACTTTCAGATACAGTAGTAGGAAATGTACATGAATAAAATAATAGAGTGGTTTCTTACCTCAGTTGCTTCCAACAGCAATTTTCCGTTGTCCCTGCAGACTTTCACTCCCCCGCACTAGCTCCCCAGGGACCCCTCTCCAGCTCCCATCCTGGTCTGGAGCCCTTATGTGCAGAGCTGTACCTTCGAGCCTGGGATCGCTGGGTGGCACCCTCCAGGGAATGTGCCTCTGTTGGGTGGCAAAGTCTGTACTTTCTCTAATTGCCTAAGGAATGCGTTTCCGTTGTGATTTTTAAAAATTCTTTGAAAATAAGAATTTTTAAAAAATTGTATCCCAGGGAGAACTTGGTATATCTCCGACAACTCAGTGCCTCGGTTCATTGAGATCCGCTTCAAGTTGACGAAGTGGGAAGCAGCAGAGAAGGGCGAGAGGGGGTCGTGGTCGAATGGTTTAGTTTCTGCCCGCTGTTGTCATCCCGCTGGTCTTCCATGGTCCTGACCAGCTCCAACGTGACCCACAGGTGACCTTGCCTGCCTGTGCTTTCACAAGCTACCCTCCTTCGATGCCTAATTGCATTTCAGTGTCTGAAGCAGGGAGAAGCTTTTGTTCTCTAGGAAATCTGCCCATCTTGGTGGCTCTCGGTGCTTTGCTTTCGACAGCTTAATAACTATAAAACAAACGAGACTTTAGATCGTTTTTCCTTACACTGTTTGTGTTACATCTGGCAGGTCAGTGAAACCAAACAGTACTTGGTAGGACATCGAGGCGTTTATCCTAAATTCAAGCAGTGGGGTGAGAATTTTTTCTTTTTTATTGTAGGCACTAACATCATTTCTTAGTGCTTTTCAGCCCTCAGTATTTGTTCAGTTTGTTTATGCTGTCTGAACACCTGCTGGAGGGAACTTACACTTGAGGAAAGATGTATTGTGGCACCTGCACCAGCGCTTCTGGCTGCCCCGGCTCAGGAGGGGGTCTTTGAATTACGCCATCATGTGTCCTTAAACTAGGCTGCCGTGTTCCTGTCATGTTAGGGTTCACAGGCGTTACTTAAAGCAAGCAGGCTTTGCATCTTTGTAAATGAAAAACTTCACCCATAAAATTTTGAAAATGTGGGAAAATGACGTAAGGCTTTGGAAAATTTCTGGTTACTTTCACCTAAGAACAGGAAAGTAATGAGCGGGAGGACTTGACGGTGCTA